TGCCAGTTTCTCCACTCCGCTGTTGCTACTTAACTGTAGAATTTGTTTGGAATTTATTTAGAACCTTTTAAAATTTAATCAGAATTTATTTAGAATTTATTTGCGAAGAGAAATGTAAGGAAGCCAGCGATGTGTGCACATTGTGATGTCATAATGACGTCATGTTGCGGTGCACTTCAGACCCGAACTATGGAAGCGAACGTCACATGACGTAGCATGGGATACTGGACTTGCGATATGACGCTTGCATACTCACACACACACACACACACACACACAAACTCAAAAAAGTCAAACCAAAATTACGTTGCTATGTATGGGATATCTCAAATTCATAGATATCAAATAGGGTGTATGAAGCGTTAATTTAAATTGGCACATACTTACGTGTGACTTGTTTGTGTTGGTGATTATCTGAGTGATTGCAATAAAAAAGATTAACTTATCTTTGAACTTCAAATTTGAAAATCCTTAAATGACCGGAAGTAGGTACGGAAGAGGAAGGAGGAGGAAGAAGCAGACGATCGTGAAGCTGACCATCGTCTGGTGCATCTCCTTTGCCATCGCCGGTCCACTCTTCATCCTGACCATGTTTGATGCCGGTCATGATGATGATCTCCAGACGGCTGTCTATAAGGTGGTTATGACGATGATGGTGATGATGGTGGTAATAGTGATGATGATGATGGTGGTAATAGTGATGATGATGATGGTGGTAATAATGGTGATAGTAGTGGTGACGGTATAAAAGAGGTGATGATGATTTTGATAGTTACATTGATTGTGGAGTTGATGAGAATGAAAATGACTGATGATGAAATTATTCAACTGCGATTTTGAAGATTTGAGATAATGGCAACTCTTGAATCCCACGAGAAACATGGAATAATTACTAAATAATTAAATTGCTTTTTCAACGCCAACCAAAACAACGGTCGAATTAAGAGTACCAGTTATTACACAAAATTAAAAAAGCAAGAAATCAACATTTAAATGAATGAGAATTTTTCGAACGAACGGTTAGTGGATACTGTTATACTTTAGCAGGTTAGCAAGGGCAGACGTGTTTCCTACTATGACGTGCGTAACATTGTGGGGCTTCATGTTCTCATATTTTACACGATGATTATATATCTTTTTGATTATATATCGCAACCTCTTAAGGAGAAACATTTCTGGTTTTCAATACCGATGCCAAAGCCAAACACTTCAAGTCATTGAATCTGACGTTCCATTGCATCATTGCATTTTTGTTTATTCATTCAATTTATTTCTTCGACATTGATTGGTTGGCTAGGGTTGTGGACCTGAGACCCCATCGTTCGTGATCACGGCAACCGCCATCAGCTTCTACCTGCCCCTCATCATCATGACTGTCACCTACCTCCTGACGGTCAGGGCGTTGCGTCAGCAGCTGAAGGAGCAGCGCCGCATCATCGTCACTACTTCCGCAAACTCCTCCTCCTCAACAACTGCTCCCGTGCGCCAACAACAACAACCGCAACAACAACAACAACAATCGCAACAACAACAACAGCAGCAACTGAAGGAACAGCTTCGTCAACAACAACAGCTAGAAGAGCAGCAGCAAATGAAACTTCTGCAAAGTCGAAAACATCAGAGGCACCAGTTGCAACAAAGCGCAGACAACGATCACCTTCAGCAAGGCGAATGTTTTGTGGTTTGCTGTGCGGACTACAACATCAACATCTACAACAACGACAACATCGACAACAACAACAACAACAACAACAACAATGGTGATGACGTTAACAATGACTGTGCATTGGATCCAAACCCCAACGAGGCATTCGTTAAAAATCTAACCAGCAAACTGAACGAGAAGTTGAAAGATGGACTTCAAAAACAAGACTCGCAACAACACCAACAGCAGAAACAACTACACCAATTGGAACAACAACAACTGCAACAGCAGCAACGGACGTTGGACGACAACAAAGATAACGATGACGACAACGACGAGAATCCGAAGAACACTCCAAACACACCTCTGCTGTTACACTATCCAGACCAGAAAGTTCCAAATGATTACACATGCACAGATGACGCCGACAACAAAATCATAAACAGAAAAATTATTTTAAACAGCGATACAAATAACGTAAAAAGAAACAACAACACAAACAATGGTGACCATGTCGATAATCTTAATGAAGATCTTCTTGATCTGCTCGTCGACAACTCCCACAACAACAAGCTAAATAGCAACATTGTAAACGTTAACATCAACACAGATAACAAAAATACAAACAACAACAACAACGACAACATCAGTAGCCAGACCAACAAATGCAACAACGTCCAAAAATCAGTGACGCACCCTTTGTTCCCAGCATCATCATCATTACCATCGTCGTCATCATCATCATCATCAGCAGCACCAGTAAAATCATCATCATTGTCACCGCAAAAATTATCTTCACCATCAAAAACACCATCTGCAATAGCATCACCATCATCGTCATCATCACCCTCATCA